TAATGACTCAAAATGTTGTAAGAGTTCATCCCACTGTGAGTGAAATAGCTAGTTCCATATATATATATATATACTTAGCATCACAACGGTGCTCCCTTCCCACATGAGTTCTTCCTTAAGATTATCAAATTCTTCGTTTGACATGATAGCCTTCCCCTCATAATAGAATGCCTGTTCCTCAACAAAAACAGAGTCCCACTTCAAGTTAAATATAACGCTCCCTCTTTCATAACGCATAACAAATCCAGCAATAAATAAATGTTAAAAAAAACTAGTTCTTTTTATCGTACTTGCAGTGCTTGAAGAAAGTCTTGCTCGAGTTCACCAACTGTTTTCTTCTCCTTTTTATCTATGCTACAGTAGGGTAGGATTTTACTATCCACAACGTCATCTTCCTCAGCCTTGCCTGAAAGAAAAAGAGGAAACGGTGTCGTGAGAGCAATGCATGAAACAAAAAGATGATGCTAGGAATAAGACCTTGATCGGCAGCGGCCCTGACAGGAAACAGAAATAGCCGACGGCGAAGGCAGAAGCGGCGAGCATTGAATTGAAGGTGGAGAGGGGAAACGGAAGTGGAGGAGAAGGAAGAGATTGGAATGAAAGGCGTTGGTCTAGGGGAAGTGAATGGTCGCGGCTGTAACAGTGTGAAGGTGAGTTTGGTAGCCATGGTTATCTAGCAACAGAGAATGTTTTTGGTGGTGTTATTGTGATTGTTTTATGATAATTCATTGTTAAAGAGGGTTGTTTTAATTTGTTTGGTTGTAGGGAAAGATAAGGCAAAGGATGAACGTGTGGAGGGAAGTGCAACGGTTTATTCTCCCTTTCCTTCTTTGATCTTCTTGTCTTCACAGTTCACATCGTGTTCTTGTTTGTTTTGTTTCACTTAGGTTTCTGACTAAGTGGCATGTCTTCTTCATGTGTCAATTGAAGCCCCATTCCCTTTCTTGTGGACACGTGGAGATATTCCGTTGGCCACGTGTTTGCTGAGGGTTATCACGTGGGCAGAGATGATGAATGATGTTCAAAAGACGATGTGGAGAATCACAAACACAAAATGGCAAAGAAATATGACACTGCTTGAAAATTTTACATTTCTTGAGATTTGAAGCAAGAAAGTGGTTGTGCCCCAAGGGCGTGACATTTTTGTTACTTGATGCAGTCATTGTATATAGCCATGTATGTTATCATTGTATTTACACTATTATTAAAAAAACTATCAACTAATTATCAATTCTAATAAAAAATTATTAAAAGAATTATATTATCATTCAGGTTTATTTTTGTTAATAAGTGTTTCAAAAATTTTTTTAAGTCATTTTAATTTTTTTATTTATATCCATTGTGTATGGAAGTTATTTTATTTTCCTGTCTATTTATTTAATCTTTTAATTTTTTAATTTAATATTTATTTATTATTTATTTATTTGACTTTTAAACTAATTTGTTTATACCAATTTTTTCATACTAATTTGTTTATACAAATTTTTTATATTATCATATAAAAGATTATCTTTCTAACAAGTTTTATTCTTTTATCCATTTAATTTATTAAATTTTTAGATTAATCTTCAAAATTTCTGAAAAATAACATATTATATATATATATATATATATTTTTTTTCTAGGGGTTTGTTAAGTTACGTATGATCTTTGTTCAGTTTTAAGGTAAAAAGTATTTGAATAATTTATATTCTCAAAACTAACAAAAAAACCAAAAATCCTTACTCACTTTCCTTATACCTCTCAATCATTTTCTCTTTCATCTCTCCGACCTTTTTTCTGTCATCATATTGTAGTCCCAACTGAAAAATCAAAAACATTCGTCTGACCTTAATTCACCTTCATTTATCCAATTTGTTTCGCTCTCATCTTCACACTCTCTCGTCCACACACAGCAACCTGCGACACTATAATTTGTTGTTTCTGTTCATTTGTTTTTCACTTTAATAACAAAATAGTTGATGTTGGTTTTTGATTGAAGGACTGTGTTATATCTTTTTCCTTAGGCGAATGTTTCTGATTACAGAGAAAATGTTTGAGTGAGAGAGATAAAAGAAAAAGTTGAGAGGAACGAGGGAGATGAGTAAGGGTTTCGAGATTTATTTTTTTCTTCTTTTTAGTTTTGAGAATGAAAAATATTAAAATATCCTTAACCTTTAAACTTAGAGTCATTAGAGTCATGATATATTAAGGTATTTTTGTCTACTAAAATCCGATACTGTTAAAATGTAACAACTGAAAAACAAACGTACGCAAATTAGCAAACCCATATATATATATATATATA